TAAATTTATTAAATTTAACTAATCTAATTCATTAACTATGCAATTACAACAACAATAACAAAAAAAAAATTTTAATTCATTTCTTCATTTTGTCGATTTGTTCGATTTTACCAATTAACTCGATTTATTTATTTATTTTATTTTAATTTTTCGGTGAGGCCATGCTTTACTCGATTTAAATTTAATATGTAGCGTGATGTCGGGCCAGTGATTGTCGAAGACGGAATCTTTTTTGACATCCATATAAAACTACTTAAAGGTCGCATTTATTTTAAAAGTTGGCGAATAATAATTCAAACTATATTTGATTTACTAACCATCAAATACTTAATCTGCATAATTTATTATTAAAACGAGTTTTGTTTGGTTGTAATTCCTCAATGGGTCAACTTCTTTTCTTTCTTTTCTCTAATACAAAATTAAAAAAAAAAAAAGATTTTTTTTTTCAGCAAGATATGCCCGTAAGCAAGAACAATCTCTTACAAAAAGAGAATTTCAATTTTATAACAACTAATCTCTTTATAGAATAATCGAGCATCTAACTAAATTAGAATCATGACTGTCATTGTTCATCAGTATGAAGCGGCATAACGCCACTGGATAAAAATTTATCAAATGCATAAGAATGTGAATTATTCATTTATAATGTATCGATTTGTGCTAGTAAGAATTAACATACATACCAAAAAAGTATACGTGTGTGTTGTACATTTGTGTCCGATCAAACTTTAAATAATGGGTTTCATAAGGTTAGAGTGGAATCCTATATTGGGATTAGGGTATGCATTAACGGGATTATAACCATTTTAACATTAATTCGACGAAAACATATATAAATATAATCAGCCGCTTGCAAAAAAGATAAAAAATAAAAAATAAAGCAAAAAAAAAAAAACAAAAAAAAAGAAATCATAATTGTAATCACAAAACATAAATAAAATTTCGTCAATACCTGAACGAATAAATCAACTTTAATCCATACGACGAATTACTGTATTTTGAGGATCAACTTTGATTATCTAGATAAGATAAAAATAAAATATGACGGAAATTAGAAATATATTATTAATAGGCAACGCTGGTAAAGGAAAGTCTACTTTAGCAAACGTTGTAACTGGGACTAATGAATTTGAAGAAAATACGAATCGCATTCGTGGAACTAACGAACCAAAATCCAAAGAATTTGAATATGAAGGAATAAATTATCGTATCATTGATACTGTAGGAATTGGGGACTCTACCAAGTCAACAGGAGAAATATTAAGTAAATTAGAAGACAAAGCTGATATTATTAGTGAAGGTTTAAATCAAATACTATTTGTAACTAATGGTCGTTTTACTCAAGAAGAAGTAGAAGCTTTCAATTTATTAAGCAAAGCTGTTTTTGATGATCAAGTAACTGATTACACCACCATTGTCTGTACTAATTTTCCTAAATTCGAAGATGATGAGGCCTGTGAAAAGGATCGTAAAACCTTTCGTGAGGCAACTGAGAAACTTTCAAAACAGCTTGCTGATACTATGATTATTTATATTGATAATCCTCCATACGAAGGTCGTTATCTTTCAATGGCAAAGGATTCACGTGAAGAATCTCGTAAAATATTGTTAACACACTTAAAAACTTGTCAAAAAGTTTACCGACCTGAACTACTTGTTAAATTTAGTAAAATGATAGATGAGTTTAATTCAATAATAAATGTCTCTAATGAAGCAGTAATGAATATTGATTTTCATCTAAATTATAGTATTAGCTATTTAAAAGAATTCATTTTTCAAAGGGAAGAGATAATTGAAATGATCGAAAAGCAGAAGGAAAAAGTAAAAGAAGATATGAAACAACGATTCAATGCCAATACTTTAGGTCATGCAGCTATATTAGGAGGTAATGCTTTGGCAATTTCAGGAATATGGTTTCCTCCTACTTTGATACCAGGTGTTGTTATGTCGGCTGGTGGTTGGCTGGGTGTCGCTGGTTCTGATTCTACAGCAATTATTAAGGAAAATGAAGCGTATCGATTATTTGAGGAATGCCTTGCTAATGACAAAGAAAAAGGTAAAATGTTAAGAAACTCTCAAATAGAGTTAAAGGGTGCTGTTGGAAAATTCAATGAAATTCACTTCCGCTTTGAAGATTCTGAATATGTAGAACAAAATATAGATAGAAAAAAAATTGGTGTAATCAAGAATGTGCTGAAAAAGATTTTAGGTGAAGAAATTAATGCTAGTATAAATTTAGAAAATGAGGAAAATGTTGAACATTCTACCGGTCTAAAAGCAGTAAGAGCTACTGTAGAAGCCTTTTGCAAACTTGTACCTTCTCCTTTATCGTTTTATTTCATTTATCGAGATCATCGAGAAATTGACGGCCGTTCTTCCTTGAGAGATATGGAAAAAACAATTAATAAATGGAGGGATGAATTAGAAGATTTAAAAGGAAAAGAATTGCAGCTAAATATAGAATATGAAAAAATTGGTTGGTGTAAAGAAGAAATAGCAAAATTACTATAAAATATTGTGCAACAAGTAAGCGTCTTATTATTGTTTATGCTTTATATTGCAGCTTACATAACTTTAATTCTGATTTTGTTTCGTTTTCGTGATAAAAGGTCATATCGAGACTATTTTTTTACTACTATATTAGACATGAAAAACATGAAAAAATCAAACTGATTACAAAGAAATAATCTTTATATAGAAGTTGCAAATAATATACAGTATACATTATTTAATATTATTTAAATAAGACTGCTTCGCGCTACCTATCGTACTAGCGTAATAGAAGGCAATTTCCATGAGAAATGCCATTGCCAATGCGCTAAAATTCAACCAACCAAAACTTATTTTTAATTTAAAAAAAATTTTTTTTACATAGATTTGATTATGTTATTGAAGGTTTTTGAAACATTAGTATGTAAAAGATTAAATAAATTTTGCCAAAAAATTTTATATTTTTGTTAGTTTAAAAAGTTCTGCTATAGACGCCTAGTACAAGATCTATTATTAAGCACATGGTTAATCGTCATCAGTTTACTATTTTCCCACACTTCTGAGTAGTTCTACTAATTAATCAATTTTATGGTACTCCGATAGTGAAGTGTGGGAATATTAATAAACTCATAACCGTCAATGGTACATAAAATTGTTACACAATTTAAAGATTTATTTATATTGGTTTACAATACATTCTTAGAAAGTGAATATTCCCTACCTTGTAATACTGTAGCGGACCCAAACATATGGGTGTGTTACTTTCAAAAACGATCTAATTCTGGTCAAATTTGCAGATCATTTGGCCCTGGCTTATCAGTTTTAAAACTG